GGAGAGGGAGGGGGCAGAGTGGGTGGTAAGGGAGGGGGTGGGGGCAGGGGGGAGAAATGACCCAAGCCTTGCATGCACATATGAATAATAAAATAAAAAAAAATTACTAGTATCTTACAGTTACACAGGGGGATGCATTGTCACATTTACATATGTGCTTACAATATGTTTTAATCAGATTCACCCCTTCCACCTTTCTCCCTCATCCATCCTCCCTCCGTACATGGAAATATTAATCTAAAATAAATAAAATGTGATTCATGATTACTGTAGTAAATTTCTCTATCAAAATTAGAAATTTCTTTCCAAATAATCTTTAGATGTAATTATGCACAAGATACATTTTTAAATCACTATCACACAATGAATTTTTTTGTCCAACCTATGCCATTAAAAATTTAAAGAGTATCATTTATAAAGTATCATTCTGTATTTTCTCATAAATGCTTACCTACCATAAAAACATCTGTTTGTAAATACATAGATGTATCCATCATTTTGTGAAGAATAGCCAATTCTAGTTCTTTAATTTTCATCTCTTCAAGGTTAAAGGGTTCACCATTGTAAAGAACTTGAGGCAGAGGACCTAAGCCAGTCATCTTATAAAAGCTTGCTCCAGCCTATTCATTTAAAAATATCAGTGTCAAACAAAATATGGCCATTTGAAAAAGAAATGTGTATGAAAAAGGGACACTCCCACATTTCATATGGAATAGAAAAAAATGTTAATTTTGCTGATTTTATCTGTGCTTCCCAAACAGTATGTAAAGAAAAATAACTTACCTACATAGAGCAGGAGTCAGGATACTTTTTCTGTAAAGGGCTAGACTGTAAATATTTTAGGCTTGTGAGTCACCCAGTCTCTGCTGCAATGACTTACCTCTGATGTTATAGTACAAAAGCAGACATAGACAACACATGAACAAATGAGCAAGGCTGTGTCCCACAAATACTTTATCCAGAAAAACAAGCAGTGTATTGTCTTGCTGACCCTTAATACAGAGTAAGACATTTACTTAAAAACATTTATCTGCATGACTTATTTTACTTCTGTATTCATTTATTCAAAAGCACTGACTGAATCATGTCACCAGCATTAAGCACACTGAATACAGAGCTGAAAGTTTTCTTTTTGGGGGATAGCTCACATACTTACAAATAGATTTTGTATGTATGAGGTTCCAAGGGCCATAAAAGAAACATCTAAACAAGCTTGAGTGTGAAGAGGAAAGGATCAGAGAATGCTTCTGTTAAGAGAGTGACACTGAAAGCCTTAAAGGATGAATAAAAAATTGTCAGAAAGATAAGATGGAGAAATATTCCAAGTGAAGAAATAACATTGCAAGAACCAGAAAGGAAGTGAGAATATGGCAATATTTAGACAATGGTAAGTATGATGGGGTGTGATGTACAGAACTGTTAGATACACGGTCAAGGGGTTCAGTCAGATGTCAGACCATAAGGGTCCTCAACATTTGGACTTTATCTTATAAATGATAGAGTAACTAAACCATTCACTTATGTTCAACACTAAGTTGAACATAAGTTCAAGTTGTTAGCCACCACTCTCAACAAGTAGTCTAAGAAACTAAGTACAGGTTAAGTATCCATTATCTGAAATGGGAACAGAAGTTTCAGACTTCAGAGTTTTTCAGATTTTAGAATATTTTCCGACTTTACTGGTTGAGCATCCTTATTGAAAAATCCAAACTCTGGCTAGAAGTATGGCTCGGTGGTAGAGTGACTGCCTCACAAGCACAAAACACCTGAGTTCAAACCACAGTACCACTGAAATACTGAATGATGTTTCAAGGTTTCAGATTTTAAAGCATTTTGGAGTTCAAATTAGGGGCATTCGTTCAATTTATAGTACTATTACATCCATCTTATACATTATGACACAGATCAAAAGAGATTAATCAGAAAAAGAGATTAAATCATTTCCAATGTCACATAGCTACTATGTTTTAGAAAACCAGAACTTATACCCAGATCTGTCTGGCCAAGAGTCTGAACTCTTAAGCACAGCACTATATCATTTGCTGCATTTATTGGGAATTTACTGTGTACTAGGCTTAAGACTGCACATAAATGACAGGTAACTGCTATCCTAATGAAACACAGTTTCACAGGGAGGGAGAGAGATGGATAAATGAAAAATAAGTGTAAACATTGTATCCAGTATACCAATGTTATGGTTAATTCTACGTAGGAAGAGGGCTCATGGCACACATGATCACTCAGTTTATTTTTAAAAAAAGCACAACTTTAACAATGTAAAGGAGGAATATGCACAAGGAGGACTGAGTTGGAGGCAACTGCAGAAGTATGGGAAAGAAAAGGCAAGAGCCAGAACAAAAATCAGTGGCAATGTAAAAGTACAGAATGAAGAACTGTCTGAAATGTTCAATAGGTGGAACTGACACAATTTGATAGCCTACTGTTTGGGAGAATATGAAGGGAAGAGTAGTTTAAGGTGACCACCAGGCTTCCAGCATAGGTAGTCTGGGTGAATCATGATGCTACGTACAATCTATAGTAGGGCACAAAGAAGGAAAACAGTTTGGGGATAACAAAGAAAATGATGGGCTGTTTTTGGATGCTTCTGATTTTGTTTATGAACAATCTTCTAGCAGCTAAATGCATAGGTTCAGACCTCTACAAATAGGTCCAAATTCCTGCTAGAATTACAGGCCATCCCTTTCTGCTCTGTTCTACAACTTCCAATTAGATTACCTATTTGTTCCAAAAGCTTGTATTATCACAGACAGTCCAGTGACTGTCTCTTTCGTCTACATATCTCTTAAACTATAGACACATACAGTCAATTTCGCATCTCTGAAACTTTCATGGTATCTCAAATTCAGTATGCAAAACTGAACTTCTGATCTGATCTCCCAATCAATTTCTCCTCCACTCCTTTCCATCGTGCCCATGGCATTGCACCTCTCCCAGTCGGTTGTTTAATTGAGATTTGGGAGTCATCCTTGACAATTTCTCAACTCTGTTCTAAAAGTGGAGAAAAGGAGCAGCTTTGCACCCAGAAAGAAGGCAAATCTGAAAGGATAATTAAGCTCAGACATGAATATGAACACTGAGCTATTACATTCTGAGAATCTGGGGATTCTTTGTGCCATTGCCTTTGTTTTTTCTGTTCTTTAGAAATCTTCTGGGTTCAGTCTCTAATTGTTTACCTTTTTTATAACCGACAAGTAAAAAAAGTGTAAATATTTACAGTGTACAATATGGTGTTTTGGTATATACACACACACTATGGGATGGCTAAATCAAATCAATTAACATGCATTACCTCACACACTTATCATTCCATTAGTAATTTTTAAGTACAAAATATATGTTTATTAACTACAGTCATGTTGATGTACAATAGCTCTCTTGACCTTACTCTTCTAACCTAACTGAAACTTTGTATCCTATGACCAACATCTCCCCAATCCTCCCACCCACTAGCCTCTGGTAACCATCACTGTACTCTGCTGTATGAGTTCCATGTTTTTAGATTCACAGCTGAATGTCAAGCTAATGTGGCATTTGTCTCTCTGTTCCTCGCTTATTTCACTTTACATGTTGTCTTAAATTACCTTTCTTTCTTTATCATATTTGGAATGAGTTCCCAAAATATCCCAAGTGTTAGTATGAGGAAATTTATTTTGGAGAACACTCTTCACATTGTCCACAGTGAGCATATTTTGATCCTTCACTTTTTGGTACATCTGTGGAAATAAAGATATTGTAATTCTTTTTACAGAAATTATTGTTCACTCTCTTAGCATATATATAGTTTGTAAATTCTCAGGATACTAATATAGTTACTAAATACAGGTAAATAATTTAATTCTGTAATATGTTTATCTTTTAATAAAATAGCTTTTAAAATATTCTATAGTGCATTAAAATATCACAAACTTATGTTATACTGCATTTTGATCAAACAGGATTGTGATTCTTAATAAAATAATTAACTTTCTGTAAAAGGGAATATATGAAGTATTTTTAAGTGACTTATTTCAGACAGTCTTTATTTTCGTTTCTGATTACTTTTTCTGCAAATGTCTTGACTAGATTTTATCTTTATCTATACTCTTCCCTCAAGCTCAGTTGTTCTAAACACACATGCAGAATGTAGGCTGTTACTCCTAATTTTTTTCTCATCTGTCTTTATATGACTCAGTTTCTGTTCCAGGCATGGAGAAAAGGAGCAGCTTTGCACTAGGAGAGAATGCAAATCTTAGTGGATGATTAAGCTGAGACATAAATATGAACACTGAGTTATCATTAAAACATTCTGGAGGAAAAAAAATCTTAACGTTTTGGCATTCACAAAACCTTGTAAAGAACAGTCTATACTTTTTCTTTTTTGTATTACAGGCTATGACATCAGGTTATGTTATATTCATGCAGTTATTTTAAAAGAGAAATGTTTTCTCTTTTTTTATTCTCTAAAAGACAATTTCTAACTATTGAAATTATTTCTTCTTTTAACATTTGCTAGAACTTGCTATACTGGTTTTAAAACATGGCCTCTGGATTCCTCAATACTTCTTTCATTGAGTGGTGGGTATCTGCACCAGATAGGCGACTACTTGACCAACAGAGTAGAATGGAACACACCAAAGGTAATTGTACCTGAACCCAGGGCTGTTGGTAGTTTCTACCTATTTCTGGTATGCTCATCTGGATCCCAGCCTCTAGGATGGTTTATCAATTTTACTATCTTTTCAGAGTGTCAACTTTTGGCATTCTTGATCCACTCATTTGTATTTTTGCTTCTTAGTTCATTAATGTCAATTCTTATTATTCTCTCCCCTTCTTTCCAAAACTGATTATTCATTTTTGAATAGTTAGGTAGTGCTTTTAAGTATTTTTTTTAACTAATGACTTTTTAATTGAAAAATTACCTAGTTGTTGAATTTAGGTAATAAGCTGTACAAATTAAGCTTGATAACCATATTGTCTAATCTCATATCTTACTCATTTTTGATATGCTTCACTTGGCAATGATAGAAATAGAAATGTTGAGATAACCTACTATCAGAGCACGTTGGCCCATTTCTCTCTCTTGATAAATTTTTGTTTTTAGCAAGGATTTATTTTAGTATAACAGAAAGAAGTATAGACAAGTGGGGGGAAGAGAGAAAGAGAAACATTTCCTGTTCCCCACACAGGAAATGGGAGTAAAAACTCTCTCTTGATAAATTTTTCATTGTGCATTCTGAAGCTATTTTAATACCAATATATGTCAGCATATTTTTCTAAAGTTATTCTCCTTAATATTTTGTGACTACTTTAGGTTTCCTTTGTTGAATACCTGCCTTATGCATAATTTCCTATCTTTTTATATCCATTCTTCTAGTGTGCTTAAGTTTAATTTACTCTCAATGTAATTATTGAAATGGCTGGATTAACATTTACCATTTGTTATTTATTACATATTCCATGTCTTTGTTCATTAGTTCTTCTTTTACTGCTCTCTTTTTGCTTAATAGATACTTCTTAGAGTACTAATTTACCTATTGATTTTTAACTATTTTTGAACATTTATTTTCTATGAATTTACCTAGAGATTACAACATGTATTTGAATTTACAGCACTCAACTTATTAATCCTGTTAATATTGACAATAAGGAATCTAGGCTCAAAATTAAATCAATTTACTCCCCTCTCCTTGGGACAATTATCATTATACATTTATAAGTAGAATTGCTGTTTTATTCAATCTATATCTCTTCCAAAGAGAAAAATATACATATATAGGCTTCTACCTTTATCCACATATTCACATTATATTCATTGCTAACACTTCACTTCTGCCTGTGGATTTAAGTTATCTGCTGCCATTCCCTTTCAGCCTGGTGGGTTTCTTTAGCATTTCTTGTGAGGTAGCAAAGAATTTTGTCTTTAGCTGTGAATATCTTCATCTCATTATTGTATAAGGATTACAGTCTGCTTACTTTGCTGAATGTCTGAAAATAGACTTACATCTGTGGGTAAGAAAATTACTTTTAGTATCAGGGGAAAGGAGGAATGTAAGACCAAAATAATGGTAAAACATATGAAGAGTTCTAAAATGTGGTAGCATTTATATGGTAGTTTTATCACGGTTTACTCAGGGAGCCTTGGTTTTTCCATTATGATCAAAAGTTAAGGTATGTTCACTTTCTCAAGCACTAATCAAATATTCATTAAACATGTAATTTGCATTTTTGTACTCTTAATCTAGTAAAGTGAGAAGACTATTTGTTAAGTTCATTTTCCTACTATTCAACATTTCTGGGATACAAAGATCAATCTACTATGGGTTAGTCAGCCTTCCACTACCATAACAAAGTATTTGAGATAAGTTGACTTAAAAATTTACAGTTAGAGACTTCATAGCTGTGGAGATTTCAGTCCATGGTTTGTTGGCAGTACATCATGGCAGAAGTACATGGAGAGGAAGCCTATGGTGCATTCCCCTCATGGCAGCCAAGAAACAAAGAGAGATAGGAAGGGGCTTGGGATCCCACTACTCCCTTTGAGGGCATGTCTTCCTAGAGGCCCCAACTCTTGAAGTCCCATGTGTTCTTCATAGTACAAGAGGCTGGGAACTAAACCTTTAACATATGAGCACTGGGGGACACTGCAGATCCAAACGATAGCATACTGTATTTACCATAATTCTGTACCACATTTTAGAAATCTTCATGTTTTATCATTATTCTGGTCTCATATTCCTCCTCCCTCCTCTCTCCTGATACTAAAAGTAATTTTCTCATGGAAAGCAAGTAAATGGTTTTTTTGAGATTTTATAATTTATATGTTTTATGAAAAAACTGTAATTTTGTAAAAATTATTTCAAATTAGTGAGGTTTAGTCATCTATCTAAAGGACAAGCACTCCCAACAGAATGTTGGCTCGGTAATATGATTTTCTATGGAATTTTGACATATCAAGGTTTTGATGTCACAAACACAAACGTGTTTGAGTAACTACCAGGTTTCTCATATTGCAGAACATAATGGATACGCTAAATACTCTTTCCAAATTTGTTTCTCCATATCCTTGTCCTCCTAATTGCTTAGTGCAATTTACAAGTGCTCCATATATTTAAACTTGCTTTTATGCATCTTTGTGTTGAAATCCATGGTCGCAAGTGTAATTTGGTTTTCGAAGAGATTCTAGCATTGTGCTGAACATCATGGTAGACAATTCAAAGGCAAGTGATAGACAAACATGCTGTCACATGCCAATGTCTGATACAAAATATAGAACAGAGATTCATGATTGCTACTTCAGATTTCTTAGCTAAGATTTTCTGAATGTCTTCAGGTTTCTAAGTTTTAAATATCATTCAAGTCCTTTTATAATAAAATAGTTGGATCCTAATAAAAGATGCAAGTCAATATGACTAAGTCCCTGATAAACCTTTGCACAATAAGTTAGTAAAATAAGGTGAGCTATCCTATTGACATATGTTCCTTAGCACTATCTTGCAGAACAAACTATATCCAAAAATAACTGAGGTGTAGATAGTTTCTATACCCTGGGACAATGACTTAATGAGGTATTCAGTGATTTCCCTGGAAGTTACAGAAACAGGGTAGGAATTTTACACTGTATTCGTATCAGACATTAATTTGCAGGTCGTAGCATATTTGTTTATCCCTTGCCCTTGAGTTATCTACTGTGATGTTCAGCATAGTGCTGTAATCTCTTAGAAAACCAAATTATACTTGCAATCATGGTTTCAAAACAAAGCAGCATAAAAGCAAGATTAAATATGTGGGATAGCCTATAAATTGTATTAAACAACTTAAAACTGCAATTATTAAATACTCTTCCTATCTCTTATTCTTCCTTAATCAGGTTCTTACCAGTTTCTGACTTTCCTTGTACAATTCTTTGTCTGACTCAGCATCAATCTTCCTTTTTTCAAACAATTTGCTGTAACTAAGTAATCTCTTCCTCCTTTGGAATTCTCTAGGAAGTATCTATACTTTGTTATTTGGAATATTATCTTTGCAATAGTCCTTTTACTCATGGTTTTATTTAAGACCTGTTCAAATATTCTTCTCTAAATAGTCATTTTCTATTATGTTTTTCTCTTAATTTATATATACAATTTAAATTCTTTTAATGGCTGGGTAAGCTTAAGTAAATTGATATATTTTGGTAAAGTTTCAGTTGCTTAATTTATAAAATTGAGTCATACTATGTATTTTAGTAGGGGACTGCAGAAATCAAATTCATCATCTACATTAATTTGCATGAAAGTTTTCATAAATTTGAAATGTAATAATAAATATGATAATGTAAGAAAATTACAGATTCTAGAGATTTTATGTAGTATATAAACTCACATGTACTGTGGAAATAAATGCTTCTGATACATCATATTCTTCTGCAATATAGTTGAAAGCTCGCCAAAGTGCAACTCCAGCATCATTTGTTCCATCAACTTCATTATCTGTATTAAGAATGAACACAAAACCAATTCTGGGAAAAGAAGATGAAAAAGCAATGTCACAACTATCTTCTGAACCACAATAAACCACTATTTAAAAATATTCTTACACTACAATATCTCAGTGAAGGGAATATACAGTCAATATGGGAAAAGGGAGCATTATTTTAAAAGATTCATTGTAATGCCAAAATCATTACACTATTAGATTCCTGAAAAATGTCAAATACTTTCTGGTTGTCGCAATATCAAATGATGTTTTCTGGGGGAAAAAGGGCAAATATACTCTTAATACAATTGCACAAAGATGAGCCCTTTTGTACGTTTCCAACATGATCAAATTATTCTCTCAGAAGGTAATGAGATACCTAAGAGTATTACACAGTTTTGATTAAAAGAATCAATCATAAAGGTATACTATACTTCATACACAAGCTATGTCGTTGAGCACAAGAACTAACTTGCTTTGAATTACATATTAACATTGTGTAACACAATACAGACATCACTAGGTTTCCTGTAGTTGACAGTTTAATAATATAAATTTATAATTACCTAAGAGGATATTTATGATAATAGAAAAGTTCAGCAAGTCTTATCAATTCCAAGGTATATTCTTGAGCAGGGTCAACAAACAGAACCTAGAAGAAAGCACATAATCAGTATTTTAACATGTTAAGAGTTTTCATGAAATTCAAATTTAGTCTTATTTTTGTAGCTTAAAACATGAAATTAAAGGTTTAAATGTCAAAAATATTCTATCAGTTCCAAATATTGAGGACTATATAAGAATTTCATCATTTATGAAGGATTTTATATGTTGAATTTCATGACAGTACTTGTCTTCTTTTCAGAAGCACAGCATAAGTAAGTTTTTTACACAAAGTAAAATAACTTGTTCCAAACGTTCACTGGCCTTTCTGAAAAAGTTAAAAAATTTAACCAAAAATAGCATTAACATAACTGCTTGCTCAAGATTCCTACAGGAAATAAAATATTCACTTCCTATGTGAAAAACAAAATTAAACCCTAGAGTTCTCTCTCTACATTTCAAAGTTCCAATGAAGTTGTTTAGACATCTAGTATTGCAATAATGAACCTGTATGCACAGATAAAAAGTTTATATTTATGTATTTTTCCTGAAAATAAACTAACCGTTAATCATCAGTTCTTAAGAATACAGAACAAAGAAAAATTCTATCATAAATGCCTCTAAGAGAATATAAAAATATTGGTATTAAAATACTGCAGGAGGGCTGAAAATAGCCAACAAATTACATGACATTACTAGCTTTTGATACCCAGTGAGTCATGCCATTTCAAGCCTATTGCACGAGGCAAATCCTTACATTTGAGATGCCTACTTACCAACAGAAAGGCAATCCAAAAGGAATGTTATCTTTATAAGGATGAATAATCAAAGTATAAAACTTACCAAATTATGAAAATTACGTCTTATAGAAGGTATAATTTCAGGGAATACTGACTTCAGAAGTTCCTGGCAACTTGTAGGCCATGTAACATATAAACCATCATTTTCTAAGTCATTAATCCACTAGAAAAGAATAAGAAATCTGTGAAAACTACATTAGGATAACAATTACACCATTTTGAAAGCCACATTTTCAATGTATTAAGTGACAGGTAAAAACAAACATAGGTTTTCTGTATTTCCAATTAACTATAAAAAAGTTGAATGTTCTTTAAATTAAGGAACACATAATGTACAACAATTTTGTACATTCATAGCCTTTTGCATTAAGCCTTTCCTTAAAAACTGATTTATTTCATTCTTGTGTTTTTCATCTTATAAAATAAAATTATATAAAATTATTCTCCATAAATTATTTAAGATGAGTATTTAATTTTTGTCCTTTTTCTTTTGATGATGAAAATTTTTAATTTTAATTATCAGTACTAAATGAGACCCACCATCTCCCCTCTTAATTAAAGACTTGGACATATGGAAAACAAAATGGCTTATAAAAGTTAAGTTACAAAATCAGTATCTTAGATGTCAAGTTCTAATAAAGATGGATTAGTTTATATTAGGTTAACCATCCTGCCTGAAACAAGTATAAAAGTTGAAGGAAACACATAAACCATTGATTAGGGGCATGTGGGAGAAATAGCAACTAATAATCAAGAACTGGGGAGTTATAATCCTTGAAAAAAGGAGGGTAAGAGAGAGACAAGTTCTACTTTCACCCCAATATTGTCCTGGAGGACATTTTCAAAATTACAGCATGGAAGAATAGACTTTAAATAGAAAGTGATAATCATATTGAGCTGAAAAGCAGAAATAAGAGTTAAGGCTGTCAAACTGCTGGGATTTGAGGGGGGAAGACAAGGGAGAGGGGGAAATTATAAGAATAGACCAAAAGCATCTCCCAACCTGCACATAACCAAAAAAGAAAAAAGAGAGAATGGCAGATGCAGCCCTAGCATGGTACTGCACAGACAGAGTTCAAAGCAGTGCTTAAGGGCTAGACACCTGGGGGTTTCATTTCATTTGGGGCCACATCCTAAGAGTAAGAGACAAAACAGAAGAGTGCTCACAAAGCCTAAAAGTACAGATCAACAGAAATAAGCGAGTAGCTGGCATTTGGGCTGCCAGACCAAATTTGTAACATTCTTTCCTTCTATAGCTTGTTAATTTTTTGTTCTTGTTTTAAAAAATGGGATGGGCTGAGTGTGGTGGTGTGCAATCTCTCACTTGGGAGGCTAAAGCAGGAGGAAAATTTTAAGAGTTTTTATTAGCATAAGATAGTTATACAGGGGGTTTCATTGTGACATTTTCATGTATACATTTACTGTACCCCAATTTGGCTTATACCTCCTATTGATCTCCCTCTTCTCCCACTCCTTTTCTTGAAATGACTGACATCAATATAATATTTATCCAACACTAGCAGATGCACATTCTTCTTGCATACATGTGGGAATTTTCTAGGACAGAGCACATACTACCACATGCAAAAAAAGACTCAAATATTTAAAAGATTGAAATTGTACAAAATATGCAGTAAGTTTAATTAAAAATTAGTAAAAGAAATTTAGAGAATTCTCAAATATGCAGAGACTAAACTATATAATCTTTAATAACCAGTGGATCAAAGAGAAAATTACAAGGGCATTTAGAAATCCCTTTGAAATGAATAAAATATATGAAAACCTAACAAACACAGCAAAAGCAGAGAGAAATTTATAGCTGTAAATACCTACATTAAAAAAGAAACATCTCAAATTGGAACCTGACTTTTCATTTTAAGCAACGAGAAAAAGAAAAGCGGAATAAATGCAGCAGCAAACAATACAGATTATTGCAAAGACAAATGAAATAGCAAAGAATAAAATAGGGAAATGAAAAACAAACTAAAAGCTGGCTGAAAAAGACAAAAAAGATCTGTTTACACAGGTTGACAAAACACACAATAAAAGAAACCACAAAAACAATGAGAGAGAGCAAGAGTCAGAGAGAAGATGTAAATGACTAAAATTCATAGCCAAACCAGGGACATTACTGACTGTACCAACCTTACAGAAATGAAAAGGATTATAAGAGATTACTAAGAAAACTGCATAATAACAAATTTGACAATTTATATGAAATAGACAAGTTCCAAGAAGCACAAACTAACACTGAACCTGACTTAAGAAAAATAGGAAATCTGAACAGATCTGTCACAGGAGTTGAACCAGTAACCAAATACCCCTCAACAAAAGCCGAGGAAGAGAGTTTCGCTGGTGAATTCTTCAAAGTACATTGTATAGTTTGAAGGAATTATCACAATAAAACCCTTGTACCATTAATGTATACTAATAAATATAGTATTAAATAAAGAATAAATAGCACAAATCCTCAAACTCTGCCAAAAAATACAACTCTAACTCATTCTTTAAGGCTAACATTAGCCTAATACCAAAGCTAGACAAAAAGACCATAGGAAAAAATAATCTATAGACCAATATCCCAAATGAAATATACATACAACAAAATACATAATATGTACAAGCAGTTACAAATACATAAACTGAATTCAGTAGTTAATTGACTATAAATCATGACCAAGTAGGAGTTCTCCCAGAAAGGAAAAGTTACAACATATGGAAATCAATCAATACACCATAGAATTAAAGGAAAAAACCCATAATCACCTAAATAGATGTAGAAAAAAATCTGACGAGGTATATCACATTTTCATGATAAAAATATTCAATAAACTAGAAGAGTTAAGGAGGATTCCTTAACCTGATAAAAGACAGCTTTAACGATAACAACAGCTGGTCCTAGCTGAAAATGGCAGATTACAGGCACCCATCACATTCCTGCTTCTCCATTACCCAGAAATAAAGGTTTAGGGATGTGGCTACAAAGAAGGTGGGTGAGTTAGTAAGCTAAGAGACAGCACCAGTAAGAGAATAGACAGCTAGTGGCCAGAGAAAAATTTAAAATCAGATATAGAAGAAACAAAGAGAAAACTTTGCTCAGGTTGAGTCCAGAACCACCCTACAAAAGCAGGACATGACCTGCTTCATCCGTAGACGAATCTAGCACAGCATTTTTGACAAAAGCCGCCTGAGTGTACCACCCTGCAAAGGCAAAGCATAAAGAAGAAAAATTCACTACCCACTAAAATACAGCATACCTAATAATAATGTAACATTCCAATGTATTTCCTTCTGATTCTTTTTTACAAAATGCTATAATTCTGCATTTTTTACTTGATAAAAGAGACATTGTTCCTGGTTACTGAAATACATGTGTAATTTTAATGTATGAATAAGTCTCATTTGTGTAGATGTACAATTTATAACACTTCTCTGTTTTATACCTAATTAGTTTCTGCTTTGTTTAAAAGATAATGCAATGAAAGACAAACTTATGGGGATAAACATTTTTTCCATTTCTTATTATTTTTTTATGGCAGTTTCCAGGAGTAGAACTGCTGGGTCAAAGTAGACAAACAATGTAAGAACACCTCAGTCGTAATTTTTAAAAGTTATGCCAATTTCTATGTGTCCTTTTAGCCTTCTTTTACATCTCCCCAGTTAAGTTATATTTTTATTACCGGTTTCAAGATTATTATATATTATTACCCAGAGTTATTCAGATTATTGGCATATTTAAGATTTCATGTTATAAATAAATCATTATGTATTATAAATAGAGTTTGGAAGAAAAGGTTTTGATCTGTGCAATGTCACTTCAAACCCATTTTACTTTTATTAATTATTTTAACCTTTTATTAATTATTATGGCTTTGGGAAGTCTTAGTTATATAATCTTATATCATGTAATGCTTTCTTTTAATATACACATAATTATACATGATCATGTAATGGAGTGTTTCTAGAATTTCATCATTAAAAATGATGATTTACATTGATTTGAGATAAATATTTACTTATTTATATAGGGAGTATTTATACTTATTGAGTACCTACTAAAACTATGCACATCATGCATGGTAAGACAAAACATGAATCAAGTTTTATCTTAAAGAGATTTATGTAGCCTAGTAAGGAATACACATGAAAAAAATACTAATCATTAGGAAAATGTCACAATGAGATATCATCTTGCCCCTGTTAGAATGGCTATAAATGGAAAAAAATAAAAATGTTGGTGAGGTTGTGTAGTAAAGGGACCCATGTACACTGCTAGTAGGAATGTAAACTGGTAGGACCATTATGGCAAACAATATGGAAGTTTTTTAAAAAAAAACTAAAGATAGAACTACCATATAATCCAATTATCCCACTATTGGTTATATATCCAAAAGAAATGACAATACCTGAACTCCTGTGTTTATTGCAGCACTATTCACAACTGCTAATATATGGAATCACCCAAGGTGTTCATCAACAGATTCATGGGTAAAGAAAATGTGGTATATATACTCAAAGAGTATTATCCAGCCATAAAAAAGAATGAAATTCTGTCATTTGTAGCTACATCATGGAACTGGAGGACACCAAGTTCAATGAAACATGCCTGGCTCAGAAAGACAAAACACTACATATTCTCACTCAGATGTGGAAGCCAACAAGTTGATTTCATAGGAGTATAAGAGTAGAACTGTGGTCACTAAAGACAAGGAAGCACATGGGGAAGGAATGACAGAAAGAGCATGGTTAATGAGTGCCACAATACAACTGGATGGAAGGAATAAGCTCTACTGCTCTACAGCATAATAAGGTACCCATAGCTTCCAATTTAGTATGCATACACACACATATAATTATGTGTCAATTAAAAATTTAAAATATATGCCAGGCATGGTGGCACACATCTGCAACCACAGCAGTAGGAAGGCTGAAGCAGGAAGACAGTGTTTGGGGCTAGCTTGAGCCACATAGTGACACCCTATCTAAAAAATAAAGAAATCAATAAAAAAAAAGAGCTAAAATTTTTTAACTCAAAAAATCAGGATAAATGTAAATATAAAATTATAACTACAGATCTTCAGTCTAATGTTCTCCCAACTGAGCTATTTTAGCTCTGCAAATGTAAAATTATAACTATAGTAAGTATAAAAAGGGACTGATTGTGATATAATACACTTGTATATATGCATCTACACATGTGTATGTATAAATAACATAATTCACATACAAACATGTATGTGTGTATAAAACATTAACTCAGTAGGACTGGGGTGATCATACCATGCACATTCCCAAAGAGGGCCTGTTTTTCTGACTATGTCTTGGCCAACTCCTGGGAACTGAACTCCTGAAATGTCCTAACTAATAAGAGTAATTTTGCTAGGTTAGGGTCTTGAGCCATATTGCAGCAGAGAGGTTATACAAACAATGGGATTTATAATGTACATGTGCTTTTGCTCTGAGAGTCTGAGGTTTCAGTGACCAAGGACAGATGCAGAGCCATGGTAGGCCTACATGACAGACCACCTCTCACAACTGAGACCTCCGAGGCTCAAGTAAACTCCCTTGGCAGGAAGCACTTTGGACGCAGTGCTATACATTGAATTAAGCATGTCCTATTTCACCCTACCAGGAGAGACCCCTTGGAACTTTGCACCTCTTCTTCCCTGGACTTCACTCATGCTGACTTTGCTTTATATCCTTTTGCTCTAATAAACCATAACCATGAGTGGTCCAACTTGTGGGCCTTGTGAGGCTTAGTAAATCACTGAACCCAAGGATGGTGTATAAAAAAACATGTAATTTAGATTGTAAGGAAAGCTTCTCTTAAAAAGGAGTGTCTGAGTTGAACTTTGAAGAAGGAGTTAACTGGAGAAAGGAAAAAAAAATGCTTCCTAAACATGAGTATGGACGGCAGTGAAAAGAAAATCTCACAGTCTAAGAACTAAAAGGTGAAATTAGGCCAACTGCACCATACAGGTCAGGACCACCTTTGTGCTTAAACAAGGGAGAAAGGACACAACTAAATTAAAAAAAAAAAAAATTCTCAACATGCAATACACAGACTGGAATTGTTAGGAGGCCACTGCAAGCTGTTCAGATCTTAAGTACTTGTTTCATTGTTGTTGTTGTTCATATGATTCTGTTCTTCTTACTATTTTCATTTTAAAACTGGGAAGGACATGGAAAAAGTCGGATCTTCTTATGAGGAGCTACCAGGAGGAGGAGAGATGAGTCTGTATTTTTACTTTTCAATGACTATTCCTCAAAATGCTTAACTTTGTTCTAAAGTCTGCAAATATTTGGCTCTATACTAAGCCTTAAATATACTAAAAGTTTTGAAACAAGGAACAACATGAGCACTTACCACTATGGAACTATGCCGGATGTCTAACACATATGTGTGTTCCTGAGCATGTGAATTCAATCTTAAGAATTTTCTCATATCTTCTCCACTGATTCCAAGATTACGAAGGCCATTCATCATTTTCCCTTCTAATTTCAGCATATCCAAAAGACTTTATGTTCAAAAAAGAAATAAGTTTAGTATTGATTTTCCAAAATTAAAATCTTTTAAAGATTGATCAATTTCTCAAGCAGAAATTGATATTTTTATTAATAGCAGGAAAATATATTAAGCTAAACTCTTTAACAAATAAGACATGTAGTCTTAATTAATTATGCATGGAAAAACATATGATTTTGCAAGGGGGGCTGATAAAACTTTGCTATTATTTAAAAGACAACAATGAATATTTTATTCTTTACTGAAAGGGTAAAGATATGATCATCCCTACACAAAGCAAAAGTGAGGGGGAAAATGTCAATTTTGAAAAATCTACAAAAATAAGATCAAATAGACATAAAACAGAAAATTTTAGTACACAAGAAGCCTGATTAAAGCATGAAAGTTTACATCAGTTTAGAATACAAATTAGAATTTATTACCTATACATGTTGAGTATACCTGATCCAAAACCCAAAGTCCAAAATGCTCCAGAATTCAAGACTTTTTGAGCACTGACATGATGTCACACGTAGAATACTCCACATCTGACCTCATATGATGGTTTACAGTCAAAACACAGGCATATGAAAAATGTAAGTATATACTTTAAACATAAATGAATTTATATTTAGGCTTGGCCCCCACCCCCAAGATACCTCATTTTTGTATGCAAATATTATAAAATAAAAATGTCTGAAACCTGAAACACTTCTGGTCCTTAAGCATTTTGGATAGGGATACTCAACCTGTACACAATACTTTGATAGTTCTTAATCATGAGAGCCATTACTGTTCAAACAGCAACAATAGCAAATAACCTTATTGGCAAAAAGTTTTGGTAATCTCAATCTTTACATTACTGTTTATCGAGTTCTTACTGTGTGCCAGAAACACCAAATGCATTGCAAGACACAGTGCCTTTGAGTCTCAAAATCACCCCAGGAGGTCACAGGTGGTACAACTGAGACTCAGACAGGGCAAGTCTCTCATCCACAGTCTTTCAGCTGGTAAAGTTCAGAACCAGGACAAGACTGCTAGAATAATACAGTGCTTCCCTATGTCCCCTCATCTGTCAGAACAAGACTTTATGGATTGTGGAAAGCATGTATGTTTTTAAAAAAGGAAAAATTTACTAGGCAATAGGGAGCTCTATTACTTTAAAAAATGTTTTTATTAGCACATATTAGTTGAATGGGGGGGTTATCAGGACATTTCCACTTACTTATAATGTATCTCAGTTAGATCACTCTCTCCATCATTCTTCTCCCTCTGCCTTCTTAAAATGGAATTGTTACTTTTTTAAACTGCTAAAATTCATATATATTATATTTAACCCAAGTATTTCATTAAAAACTTTATTCACAAAAATCATTTTGCCTTTCATTAGGAAAAAAGTAAAATATGAATTTTAGAATACCTTCCTAAACAAAACTGTGAGCCACATTGAAAAAATATTTAATACCCCTCCCCCCTTTTCTTGATGCTTTGCTCAATGCTAGCCTCAGACCAAGATCTTCCTACCTATATAGTAGCTGGGATTACAGCTATAGACACTATGCCAGGCTTCTCTGTTGAGATGAAGTCTTCCTTACATTTTGCCTGGGCTGGTTTCAAAATGAAACCTGGGATTACAGGCATGAACTACTGTGTCCAGCACTAAACTGTTCATAAAGATGTTTTATAAGAGCTTCAAGTTGGCCCATGCAGATGACTTTAGCTCTGTCTGTATCTTAGATAGTTCAGATCACAAAAAACAAGCTCCTTCCCAGGAAAAAATATATAAGGAGATGGGCACTAAAAAGACTACTAGGTTAAAAATATCACAAAGCACCAACTTGAAAATAAGATGAAGCCTGGGCAATGTATCACTATTTCATGGTAGCTTTTTGAAATCCTTAAAACACTTTAGTTTAAAATTTGAATTTATAAAATAAGAATTTAGAACTATACCAATGTTTTTTTTCATTTTAAAAAATCTTGTGATGCTATCATTTTTGGATGACAGAATTTTAATTATCCCCATAGCTTTTTCTTTTCAACATAGTTTTCAAAGAAAACCTGAGATAGCACCATATACTAGGAATGTTATTTGCTAGTTGTTTACCTTTCTTTAAGATCTGAGTCTCAGTTTGTACATCTTAAAAAAAAATAATAACAATGCCTTTACAGAGCTCTTCAAGATGGTGACTGAGACAGAGCAGTAGACCTCCTGAGCTACTGAACCAGTAGACCCTGCAGAGACACTGGAGACACAAGCAAGAGCCAAAATACAGCACTCTAAACCCTTAGATCATGGAAGGCTTCTAAACGCCACAAACTAATAAAAGAACAGCCAGTGGCCAAGTTCCTGACCAGTAGGCCTGCAGAGATGCTGCTCCGCTCTTGCCAGGCCCTCTGCCTCTCTGACTACTCTGGGCCACAGTTCTGTGCCAGATGCATGCACCACCAGGATCCCCACCCCTCAGGCAGTGCAGGGCCCCAGGCCTGCTCCAGATCCACGCCCCGCCGGGACCCCCGCCTCTTGGGAAGCGCTGGATCCCCGCACCTTGAGGCCCACACCACTGAGGCTCTGCTGGGCCCCAGCCCTGCCTGGATCCCCAACTCCAGGGCTGTGACAGATGCACTCACCACCAGGATCCCTGCCCCTTGGCCTCTCTGGACCCCAGCCCCCAGCCGGAAACCACGCTCTGCCATGAACCCCGCCAGCTCTGAGACGGAGCCGCACCACAAGGGGATCCCCACCTCTAGGGCCGGGCACCAGCTTAGCATGACACAGCTGCATCCCCGAGCCTGCAGGGATCCCCGCCCCTTGGGTGGAGCCAGGGTCCACATCTACAGGCTCTCTAGGTAACTGCTCCACCAGGCTCACGCTCGGCCGCCACTAGAGGGCGTCAAACGTGCCTAAGAGACACACAGACAGCACTGGATGCTAAAGGAGTAACAGAACTACTGAGACTGCCTGCAATTCTACTGTTCCAGAACTAGTGATTTTTTTTTCTTTTTTTCCCCTCCCTTCTTTAAGGGTTTGGCTGCCTGGTTTGTTATTTGA